GGCGGCCTGATGTGAGAGGGCCCGCGGCTGATGCTCATGATGCTTGGCCTGGGGCGGGCCTGATGTGAGAGGACCCGCGGATGATGCTCATAATGCTTGGCCTCGGGGGGCGGAGATGTGACTCATGACGCTTGGCCTGGGACGGCCTGATGTGACAGGACCTGCGGCTGATGCTCACTTGGGGCGGAGATGTGACTCATGATGCTTGGCGCGGCCTGATGTGAGAGGACCCGCGGCTGATGCTCATGATGCTTGGCCTGGGGCGGCCTGATGTGAGAGGGCCCGCAGCTGATGCTCATGATGCTCGGCCTGGGGCGGCCTGATGTGAGAGGGCCCGCGGCTGATGCTCATGATGCTTGGCCTGGGGCGGGCCTGATGTGAGAGGACCCGCGGATGATGCTCATAATGCTTGGCCTCGGGGGGCAGACATGTGACTCATGACGCTTGGCCTGGGACGGCCTGATGTGACAGGACCTGCGGCTGATGCTCACTTGGGGCGGAGATGTGACTCATGATGCTTGGCGCGGCCTGATGTGAGAGGACCCGCGGCTGATGCTCATGATGCTTGGCCTGGGGCGGCCTGATGTGAGAGGGCCCGCAGCTGATGCTCATGATGCTCGGCCTGGGGCGGCCTGATGTGAGAGGGCCCGCGGCTGATGCTCATGATGCTTGGCCTGGGGCGGGCCTGATGTGAGAGGACCCGCGGATGATGCTCATAATGCTTGGCCTCGGGGGGCAGAGATGTGACTCATGACGCTTGGCCTGGGACGGCCTGATGTGACAGGACCTGCGGCTGATGCTCACTTGGGGCGGAGATGTGACTCATGATGCTTGGCGCGGCCTGATGTGAGAGGACCCGCGGCTGATGCTCATGATGCTTGGCCTGGGGCGGCCTGATGTGAGAGGGCCCGCAGCTGATGCTCATGATGCTCGGCCTGGGGCGGCCTGATGTGAGAGGGCCCGCGGCTGATGCTCATGATGCTTGGCCTGGGGCGGGCCTGATGTGAGAGGACCCGCGGATGCTGCTCATAATGCTTGGCCTCGGGGGGCAGAGATGTGACTCATGACGCTTGGCCTGGGACGGCCTGATGTGACAGGACCTGCGGCTGATGCTCACTTGGGGCGGAGATGTGACTCATGATGCTTGGCCTGGGGCGGCCTGATGTGAGAGGACCCGCGGCTGATGCTCATGATGCTTGGCCTGGGGCGGCCTGATGTGAGAGGGCCCGCAGCTGATGCTCATGATGCTCGGCCTGGGGCGGCCTGATGTGAGAGGGCCCGCGGCTGATGCTCATGATGCTTGGCCTGGGGCGGGCCTGATGTGAGAGGACCCGCGGATGATGCTCATGATGCTTGGCCGCAGAGATGTGACTCATGACGCTTGGCTGATGCTCAAGATGCTTGGGGTGGAGATGTGACTCATGATGCTTGGCGCGGCCTGATGTGAGAGGATCCGCGGCTGATGCTCATGATGCTTGGCCTGGGGCGGCCTGATGTGAGAGGGCCCGCAGCTGATGCTCATGATGCTCGGCCTGGGGCGGCCTGATCATGATGCTTGGCCTGGGGCGGCCTGATGTGAGAGGGCCCGCGGCTGATGCTCATGATGCTTGGCCTGGGGCGGGCCTGATGTGAGAGGGCCCGCGGCTGATGCTATGCTTGGCCTGGGGCGGGCCTGATGTGAGAGGACCCGCGGATGATGCTCATGATGCTTGCCTGCCGGGGGCAGAGATGTGACTCATGACGCTTGGCCTGGGACGGCCTGATGTGAGAGGACCTGCGGCTGATGCTCACTTGGGGCGGAGATGTGACTCATGATGCTTGGCGCGGCCTGATGTGAGAGGACCCGCGGCTGATGCTCATGATGCTTGGCCTGGGGCGGGCCTGATGTGAGACAGCTGATGCTCATGATGCTCGGCCTGGGCGGCCTGATCATGATGCTTGGCCTGGGGCGGCCTGATGTGAGAGGGCCGGCGGCTGATGCTCATGATGGTTGGCCTGGGGCGGCCTGACGGCCTGATGTGAGAGGGCCCGCAGCTGATGCTCATGATGCTCGGCCTGGGGCGGCCTGATCATGATGCTTGGCCTGGGGCGGCCTGATGTGAGAGGGCCCGCGGCTGATGCTCATGATGCTTGGCCTGGGGCAGGCCTGATGTGAGAGGGCCCGCGGCTGATGCTCATGACGCTTGGCCCAGGGGGGCTTGATGTGAGAGGACCCACGGCTGATGCTCATGACGCTTGGCCTGATGTGAGAGGGCAAGCAGCTGATGCTCATGATGATCGGCCTGTGGTGGGCTGATGCGACAGGGTAAACCCCTAACCCGACTTGCTCGAGGAACGAGGCTCAATTCCCGAGGCACTGAGTGGTTAAACCCTAACAAAACCCTTAGCGCCCGAAACCCTAAAAATTCGAACCCAAAACTTCCTAATTTCCTTTGCAAAGGGGAGTAAGTGCCGGGGAAATGACCACTGTTTATGAAGGGTTTTTGGTTGTGGGACAACGTACCAATCAACTCTGCCTCGGCAGAGGGAGTCCGGGTGAAGATGTTCCTTGAACGCATCGTGTACAACTTGCGCTTCATGAAGTCTTAGCGACGCGAAGCTGGAAAAGCGGTGCGAGGTGAGCAAGAGTTGCCGCAGATGATGCTCTTTACTTGGCTCCCAGGTGTGTACAAAAGGGAGTATCCGCATGCGAAATGAAAGTTCAGGAGCCTCCGAGCGTCTTGGCTTCACCAGCGTGTGGGACCCAGTTATACACGGGGCCGAAAGGGGCGAGATCTTGAACTTGACAAGGGAAGTCCGGCATTGCCAGCAGGGAAAAAACTCCCAGGATTGCTTGCTGTCTTCGTGCTGCTCACGATGCTGCGTGTGCTGAAGAGGTTTCGCACGCTTCGAAGTGCTGGCCGGATGGTATCTGCCCAGGCCCCAGAACTCAGGCAAGTGGGACCTTGGAAACTAGAGACGATATTTGTGCCCGTGCACCCGTCCAGACTGTGACAACTAGCCTGAACATGCCTGAACGTCGAAATCAAGAACCTTCCTCTAGAGGCAGCTTCATGCCCCAACTCCAGCAAAATTGGTCAGGTGCCCTCGCCGCCCGAGTCTTGGACCAGTGGAAGTGGCAGGGTTGCAGGGGATGGTGACACGTGAGCTTCGTTTCGCTTGGGCACTTCAGCTTTGGGACAAACGGGCATTGGAGTCGGGCCCGCGACCTGCCTCCGGCTGTGCCACATCGAACTGAGAGCCGATTCAGCAAGCCAAGTGTGCCATGTGAAACGGAAGCTAGACCCGCAAAATGAGAGGGAGGCTGCAGCCCCAAAGTGGCCCCACATGCACATCCCTGTGGCATCGCAGGTCCGGAACTGCAACCTTCCAGATGCCCGGAGCTCAGCAGAGCTTTGCGGCCGGAAAGAAAGGGCACGAATAGGTCACGCTCTAAACCGACAAGGCGGCTTTTCAATGATGTTGTTAGGTGTCGCTGGCCGTCAGGAAGGATGGGCTCACAGAAAGAAGAAGTCGGGGCCAATGTAGTAAAAAAATGCTCAGGGTCAGTTCTGGTGCTGGGGCAGATATGATGTGGGGCTGGTCACTCCAGCGACTAGCCGAAAGAGCTGAAGCCTCGTCTGGTCGGTGCGACGAGTTTCGAGTGATTGCAGACTAAGAGCTTGGACGTGAACCCTCGTGTCACATTGCTTAAGTGGTGGCAAGAGTTGAAGCCACATGAGGCGCCCTGTCACTGCGGACTTCCCTCGGGAGCGGGTTCAGAGCTGAGGAGCAGCAGATTCTTGGGCTGGGGTTGGCGGCTCTGGGGCTGATTCCAAGGGGATGTTGTGAGGCGGATTTCGGAGGAGGGCGGGGGCTGTCGATTTTTGACAGTTCTGGCTTTAGAATGATGCGTGAGGCTTCGGACGGCTTGGGAGATGTGTTGCTTGAAGAAAGTCGGCAAGAACAAAAGCACGAGGTGGATGTGGGCGATCGGAGGGGGATTCTGTTAAGATCTACGATTTGGGATGTTTGGCCGACTCTACACAGACCGAAGATGTAGGATTTGACAAAGCAGATTGCGCCTAAATGTCAAGGCTTCGCCAACGATGAGCTACACAACTCGCCTGTTGGGGCCCATGACGTTGACAGACTGTTGTGGGGGGGTTGGCAGCTACATGAGCGAAACCGTTGGCATGCGAGAGGTGTTGTGAAGTGGAGATTCCGAGCCCATGTTTGGTCACACTTGCCAGCTCGGTTTAGGGTTTAGGTTTTAGGCTTTAGGGTTTAGGGTTTATGAAGTAGTGAAGTCCAAATTTGGTTCGCCACGAGCCCCCCCCAGGTCCATGGGCTTCGGCTGTTGCACGCCGATGGAGCGCTACGGCATAGGACAGGCGTGGGACATTTGACTGTGAGACCGGGATCCAGTGACTCGCCAATAGCTGGATGTTCAGTCCGCCCAAGCCGAGACAAAATCTTATGTCTTTTGCTTCTATGTGCGGCTCGCAGCATGAAGAAGGCATGATTTGGTGTACGACTGCAGAACCCTTCGGTCGACTTCTCGGTGTCTGGTCCCACTGTTGCACCGACATCTTGCATGGGGCTTATCCGGTCCTCTCCAGACCCATCAACAGAGAACTCCAAGGTTCTTTCTTGTTCTAGTTGTTTTTTAAAACACGGGTGGGCCATCTGCGTCCCATGCGCGTGGTTGTGTCCTATGTCAGCGGAGCGGCAGTGGCAGAGGTGGAGTTGGCGCCTTGACGTGTTTGGGAGATTTGGGGAAGTTTGGGGATTCAGAAGAAAGGGATGTCCTTGGAATTAAGTGGGCACTTGGGAAGGAAGATTTGTTTGAGAGTGCTACAGCATAGAAACCTCAGATGGCACGGAAAGCTGACCTAACTAGCAGCATTGCAGGTTGTCACGACAAAGAAAGGGTGGGCTGAACTATGCGCCGACACGTCTCTAAGCAGTTTCCGGGTTCTGGACCACCAAAGCCCAGCTGGCTTGAGGATGGCGAAGCGATGGTGGAAGCCATCTACCGAGCGGTGACAAAGGTCGCCCCCGAATTGTTCTGTCGGGGTAGGGGGGGTTTAGGGTTGTTTTTGCATGTGGGGGTTAGAGTTCGAGTGAGGCGCATGATAGGCTGTGGTGCTGCACATCTGAAAGCCTTACATGGGAGCGGTGGTCGTTTCCATGCAGAGGTTGGATAGAATTCCTCTAGAAAGGCAACCTACGAAAGATCACATCAGCCAGGCGCAAGGGGTCAGATTGCAGGTCTAGCTCAACAAGACATGTGGCTCTTCTGACATTTCTCAGATGTTTTCTGAAGTTTATTTGGTGTGCTCGGGCCAGCGTTTCTGAGGCTTTGGAGCTCCTCGTCCGAGCATGTCCTAGCCAACTGACCCAGCCAACCAGCGGCCCGTGCAAACCCCCTCACAAAGGACCTTTGCTAGCTGATCGCTTCCTGTATGTGAAGTTCAAATTGTCCAGCTGCAAGGCCACTGGCATTCCAGGCACCCGGCAGCAGCTCTTACGAGGCGAGCACGGTAGTTTCAGGCTCGAGGTCCGTGGCTGCATTTATGGGCTCCTCTCGCGGTATCCTGAGCTAGACGGTGTGTCAGGGAAAGTGGGGCCCCCTCAGTTTAGAACACTCCACGTCCTGCTGCGTACACAGTTGCCGCCTTTCGTTCAGCAGATACCAGAGGCCTCCCAGGCCGCAGGATATGGGGAGCAAGTGGGGCGTAGTTGCCAACCTCATGTCGGGGTCCCTGTCGTATCATAGAGGGGATGCTTCCCCTTTTAGCAGCTCATGGGCCAATAACCCTAAACCCTCAACCCTAAACCCTAAACCCTAAACAGGCCATGACCTCCTTTGGCCAACCATGAAGCTGTCACAGCTTGGGGAGGAGGCCTGGCACTGTTAACTCGGTAGGGCCCTTGGGACGTGTCAGATTTTTCCCTTATTGGGTGTGGGAGGATCATGTGCCTTGAGGTTTCTCAATCGACATTCTGCACGGGCCGCACATCGTGTGTGTTTGCTACAAGCGTTAGGATTGTTGACTCCGAAACATGTAAATTTGTCGGGCTCAGGTTTCCAGGCGAAGGGTTGGTCCGTGACTAAACCCTAAAGCATGATGCCGGGAATACAGAGCGCGCACTTGCAGCTCCGCAGCAGGAGGAGCTGTTCCTCAGCCTGGTAGTGCACCGTGCGTCCTTCGTTGCGACGGCATCGGATGATGGCACGGCGCGAATCTGGAGCCTTTGCGGGGAATGGCGATGCGTTTGTGTTGCATGCCGCTGCATCCTTGAGCAATGGACGACAACATGCAATGCTGAGACAGCAGCTGTTTTGTTTTCCAGCCTCCTGCGTCAGCGAGGCACACTCATCGAGGCACTTGCGCTTCCCGGATGCAGTTCTGCAGCAGATCCAATCAGCTGCTGTACCGGTTCAACTGCCAAACTCCAGCCATCTTCGGATCTGAAGCATGAAGTCCAAGATTCAAGGCCCATTCAGTGTGCTCAGTGAAGCTGAGGTTCACACGCTGGAGGGCCATGGAGAATCTTGGCCTGCAGTGCAAGCACGAGCACAAGGGGCCAGGTTCGATAAGGGGTAAGAATCTTGGTGAATCGTCCGGGCCCGATACGGCAAGTCTTGCATTCGTCGTGGCGCACCAAGGAGTGTTTGCTTTGTCTTCGAAACTCTGCGGCGTGTTTCTTGTGTTTGCTCGATGTTGCTTGTGCCCCTCCGAAGCACGTTGTATGAATCTCAGCGAGGGCCAAGCCCCAGAGAGAGCGAGAGTCTTGACTGGTGCTGAGGACGTGGTGCGGTCTGCCGTTTTTTCTCCGGATGGCTACTTCGTGCTTACGGCAACATCTGCCGGAAATGCCAAGATTTGGAATGTGCCAAGGCTGCAGACCTTGAGGGGAACAGCGCAAGAGCTTGACGCCTGCTTAGACTTGAGAGCCCTGTGACTTCGATCCTGAAGGAGAAGTGTGGTTCGAAGCATTAGGGGGACTCAGCTCAGATCATCCCGTGTCAATTAAGTCACATCCAGGAATTCACGGCGAATACAATCTCAAATCACATGCGCTTGAAGTCACATCGCTGAACTACTTTCAGGCCAAAAAACCCAATGATTCGCGATCACACGACGCGGTGCTTCATGATGTGCAAAGAAAGAAGTTCCACATCCTTCAAGTATGGCTCGAAGGCACCGGCATTGAAGCTGATGATGGCGAGGGTTTAGGGTTTAGGGTGTAGGGTTTGCTGCAAATGGGTTTAGGGGGGTCATTTTGTCGAACCGCCCGGCAAAAGGCTTGGAAGATTGGCATTCCACGTAGCTCGTGCCAGGTTGCGCCGTGGACTGGTGGGACTTCCGGTTTCAGTGGCATAAGCAGTCACAACTTTGCAGTTCCGAGGTGTTGACGGGACAGTGTGTCAGAGCTCTGCTCGCTGGCTGCAGCTAGCTGCCTCGGAGACTTCATACCTTGAAAGGTTTGGGATCGGTCAAGCTTGAAAGTGCTAAGCAGAACAACTGCAGCGTTGAACTGGCGGGATCGAGAGGGCCTTTTTGAGGCTGCGTGGTGTCCCACTCTGAAGCCCTAGATTGGCATACATGGATGATGCAAGACATGGCCCAGCAGACCAGGCCGGTGCAAACCTATGCCTTGTCCCTGGCAGTCTTTAGTGCCGACTCTTCCCTCGCAGTTGGGCAGCATTCGGAGGTCTTGTGTGGGCTCCAGCAATTCGGACATTTCGGATGGTCGAGGGCTCGAGTAGGCTGCAGCAGCGACGTTTCATCAGAGGTGGCCAGTTGCACACCTCAGGGGCATGCATCAGGCGTAATCGAAGATGGCAAAGCTCAGCTTGAAAAAGGGCGAGCACGTGGATAGCTACAAGTAGCTCATGCGTACGGGCATCGGCAGCCAAGAAGGCATCCATGAACAAGTCTAATGTAGAAGCACACCTCGCATAGAATAGCCCTTCGACCCCCAATGCAAGCCAACACACACACACACAGAGATACGGCACCACGTATATATATATATATATATATATACATATATTTTTTAAATACATAATACATATGTGTTAGTTTTTTGGATAGCCATTAATATAGAACCCTTAGTGTTGGTTGGGTTCCCATGAAAGGGTCGGGTTCATGAGCCTTCAACTAGGATCCGACTCTGAACCCCTTGCCACTCAGGTGTTGACCGCAGCCATTGATGGGACTGTGGCTGAGCTCCATACGAACCCTAAGATCCCCCGAAACCCTGAGTCTTTGAAACCCTGCCGGGGCGTCGGTTACAGAAGAAGTCTGGGGCCCCAAACCCTAAACCCTAAACCCTAAACCCCCTCACGAAATGCAATGTAGAGGTCTTTTGTAAATGCCCGGTGGCTGGAAGGCCCCTGCAGCTGGAGCATGCAGGGTTCAGAGGTTCGGGTGGATGCTAGCAGCCTGCACCTTCTAGTTTTGCAGACTTCGTAGATTCGGATCCAATCTATATATATATATACATATATACATACATATATGCACATGTATTTTCGGGATATATACAACATACATAAATACGCACATATATGTAGACACATACGTATATGCACATGTATTTTTGTGATATATACACACGCATACACATATTTACATATATATATATATATGTATGTATATCTGTGTGTGGGTGCGTGGGCACCTGGGGTCTGGAGAAGGCGCCCGAGCCTTGGCTTTAGTGTCAGATTGGCAGCTTGGCCGGCATGTCAGTCTACAGCTTTCCTTTCCGAACATAACATAGAACATACCGTAAGTACATATGTGTATATCTAAACAAATATAAATGTAAATTTATTAATTACTTATTTTATTTATTTATGTATATACACAAACCCTAGATGAACCCTAAACATATGCTAATTTATCAATCGGTTAATGCATGTAAAATCTTGGGGGGCCTTGAGGGCTCAGACTCATTCAACATGAGGCGAAGATCTGGCGTGTGCCTTGCGGCGGCTGCTTTCAAACCCTGCGGGGTCACCAAGGCAGCACGTGTGGGAGCGAGGGGGCTTAGGGCGACTGCACCGAGGGACTCAAACGACATGCCGGGAGGCAGAGTGTTCGCCTGCAGTGCGTCATGTAAGTCCTGTGTAAAGGTGCAGCGGTGCAAAGCGCACAAAAGCAGCCAGGGGTGAGCCATCCCACCCAACTTAAATCCCTGGGGCCTCGTGCACTGGTGTCTTGTCCTCCGAAACTACCAGCCTGCTCTTAGCCCGAAATGCTGAGAATTGCTCATCGGGCATGCAGCAGGCACAGTGACTTCTGCAGAGTTCTCAAAAGACGGCACGCAGGCAAGGTCACTGCGATCACTGACCATAAGGTAACATGTCTGTTGAGAAGTTGATTGATTGCTGACGAGCACAATTGCAGCTGCCGATCGACCAGGTGCTTACTGGATCCTGGGACAAGACGGCCAAAATCTGGTCACAGGGCAAGATCTTAGGCACCTTTTTTTGGTCGGCGGCGAGCCGCACTCTACGTTGATGTCGCTTTTTTTTCATGCCCACGAAGGGGAACATCAAGGCAGTCTGGGCCGGGTACTTCACAGCAAGACAGAGGGAGATGGAGAAGCCAGAGAGAGAGAGAGAGAGAGAGAGAAAAAAAACAAAAGAAAAGCAAAAACGGATGAAGCGCAGAGGAAGAGCTACCAACGAGTACGGAAGTGGCCCCGGCACACGTAAGCCGAGAAAGTCCAGGGGAAGCAGCAGGATGTGAGGGGTAATTCGCCGGTGGGCACATCATCGTATGACAGCACAGAAGTGCGCCCTTTTCTTCCATGTGCCCAGAAGAGTTTTGAAGCGGCAAGCAGGCATCGGGGTTGATATACGCAGAACGGCAGAACCCGCCGCACAGTACCAGTATTGCAAACAGGGGGGGGGGGGGGGGTCGAGGAGGGAGCAAGAGAACGAGAGAGCAAGCAAGAGAGGCAGAGAACTGGAGAGGATGGCCAAAATTCGTTGTCTATGTTATGCCCTTCAAGGAAACAATGCTGGACTCTAGACCTTTTGGATGCAAAAATGCCTTAGCCTGTGAGCTCTTACACCACATCCACACCCAAGGCTCGTCGCACCGACGGGACGCAGTGAGCCGAAGGGTGGCGAGGTACTGCCAAAACATAATATAATAATTTCAAATAGTTGTATCATGATATAGTACTACAAGCATACCATATTACAATGGTCCATAAAGATTAGTGTTTACAAGTAAGAATAGCCAAGTCATGCATCAATGCAATATCATAAGAATGCTCGCGGTAGGGAGTGGCTGTGAGGGTCACAGTACATTGAGACACGCCCTAAACCCTAAACCACAAATCAACACCACCGTGAAGCCTTGTGGTTTCAGCGCTCACAACTCCAGGAATTCCCGATTCCACCGAAGGGTCATGGCTCCCGTTGGATTTGGGGTTTAGGGTTTAGGATTAGGGCTTTAGGGTTCAGGGTTCAGGGTTTAGGGCCCCTCACGGAACCCGGGCTCAAAAGGGTTAAGGGGTTGGGTTTAGGCGGCCATAATTCGAAAAATGAGGGAGAGGGCTCAATCCACAAGCCTGCGGCCATACCCTTCGTGTTCCGGGCCATTCGTCGCTGGAAGGTGGCCAAACGAGACCTCAACTCGTGCTTCGGCTGCGTCCGCTTTCTGCTCACCTCCTGCTGCCAGACACGCAGCCCAGCTTGCAAAGGCGTTCTGGGCCTGGGAGTCAGGTGAAGATGGTGCCCTGCGAACGCGTTTGTGATGCTTACAGATAATCACAGTGAAGAGCAGTCTGGGCTCAGGGTTGGGACATGGCTTTCCGATTGCTGAAAGACTGATGGCTCCAACTCAGGCCATGATCGGCTTTGCCTTTGCACACTGCGGGGGCACAGCAGTTGGCTCAGCAGTGCCGCAGAAGCTGAGTGATCATGCAGGCGCGTGTATGATGGGTACTGCAGGCCATGCGGTTCTCTCTGCAGCATATGCTCCGGACGGTGAAGCCGCTCCTTGCCCCGATGCGGACGCCAGGTTGACTCTTGGGTTTCGGGCTGAAACTTTTGAGGGCGGTGCTCATAGCCTGAATGGCGGAGCTTGTTTTGGGGGGGGGGGAGGGTTTTCGGTTTAGGGTCAAGAAGGCTGCCCCGAAAGCCCAAACCCTACGTGCTGGATGTGGGAGCTCAGGTGCTGACGGCCTCTGTGGATGGTACTGCGCGAATATGGCGCGGAGGCATCCGTTTTCATACTCCTAGGGTCACGCCCGTGTGAAGATCACGGGAGCTTGGGCCCCGACTCAAGAAATGGTTTAGGGCTTGCATTTTAGGGAGGGTTGGGACATGCACCTGCCAGGTGAGACAATACAGATCCTAGAGGGACATGGCCTGGGAGTTTTCTCGGCCGTCTTCTCTGCACCACGGTTTGGAGTTCAAAGAGTTTGAGGTAGTGATTTTCAGGGCCAAGAGGAGTTGACTCCCACGGGAGGAGGGACGACGAAGGGGTTATGCATTCAAGTTATATGTCAAAGAGTAGAGTTGGGGAGTTCTAGGACGTGTAGGTATGTATCTTGGGTAGAGTCCAGCGAGTTCTTTCGTGAGTATGTATCGCCCGGAGTGTACTTGGAGTAGTAGAAGTAGTGTAAACCATAGGCCCAAATGGGCTCCCATGCAAGACCCTGAGAAAGGGTGTGCTTCGCCTGGCTTGAGTCGTGGGGTCGTGTACTTGGGGTGTAGCTGGTATGGCTGAAGTGGCGAGGTAACATAGAAACACTAAGCACTCATGTTACAAGAATGGCGAAGCGCATGTTCAAGGAACATGAAGTCGTTTTGGAGAGGGTCGATCCCAAAGAGGGCTACCGTACTCCAACGGGCAACGGCTCCAGGGGGAAAGCAGATGTCCTGTTGTCGGTTGGAAGGCTTGGGGAGGGGAACTAGGTAACGAGTCGCAATCAGCCCATGACTCATCGAAGAGACACACTCAGACCCTGCCTTGACGTTCGGCCAGTTATGCAGAAGCGAGAAAAACCCCCAACCCTACGTGACCATGATGTCACCCTCTACAGGACCCGGACCATCTTTGCCTCGCCTTGCCTGTCCGAATGTGAGTGATTAACCCATTCCTTTGATGTCTTAAGCCGCCGTAGCCGAGTAAGTAACCTTTCAGACTTGTTGGTTGCGGGGAGTACTATGTTGGCACAGAGTCCCAACTTGGATGCCCTTTTGACTTAGAAAGTGGCGTTTGTAAGGTGGCTTATTGGGATTTAAAGTAGGCTTTCTAGGGGATACTAAGTCAACTTACCAGATCTTACTAGGTCAAAGGAGCTTCTAAGTCTGTGCCACCAAGGTGGATTCCCGGCTGATCTTGACCGCCTCCTGGGACCGAACAGCAAAGATTTGGGACGTCGCCTCGGGCGTGTGCCTAAGGACCCGCTTTCAGGTTCAGGTTGGCTCCGAAGGGTTCAGGGCATCAAGGCTGCTGTGCTATAGATCAAGGGCTTAGTAGATGGCAGAAATCTTGTCCCGTGCTTCAAACGCCCTAAACCCCGAACCTGAAACCCATAAACCCCGCATTGCTTTGGCCAGTCGGGTGGCAAAAAAAAAACCATAAATCCTGAAACCTAAGTTCCACACTGGAGGACACTGACAGGCCATGGCCTCCCGGTACGTTCCGCCGTGTTCTCGGCAGACGATGCAGCGGTGCTCACTGCTTCCGACGATGGCCGGGGCAGGGCTGCAGGAAGGGTTTAGGCGGTCTAGGGTTTAGGGTTAAGGGTTTGAGGTTTAGTCTCTAGATTGGGGTCATTTTGGGGGGGTCTTCAAAAGGTGCCGTCCTAGATAGCAGTCAAGAAGGGACCCTAATTTAGAGAACCACCCATATAGGGCAGGCGCCAGCTAGCATGCTCATGTTTCGAGGGCAGGCGACGGTAAGCTGGGCCGGTCATCAAATAGCTCATGTACTTTGTGCCGCAAGATCACCAGATGAAATGCCACACTACGATTAGTCTAGTGGTTCTGAGAATAAGATGGAGATTGCTTGACTGCTGGGGCACACGATTCTGTGGAAGATATTCGCCCGTGTTCCTCCACACCAGGCAGCGCAAAGATTTGGAGCGTGAAGACAGGGACATGCTTGCGAACGTTGGTCAGGCACCTTGGCAGGTAGGGGCATTCCAAGACATAAACCCAGACTCACCCTAAACCTTGATCAATTTAGCTGTTCCGGAAGCCTTTTTGCCCGAACCAAGCGGAACGCCTCGAACCCCCACTCTTCCACCCAACAAACGGCAAGAAGCTTCGGTTGGAGCATTGCTAGACGGGTGACCGAAAGTCCCTAAATACCCTTGCTCCCCCTAAACCCTAACCCCTGAACCCTGAACCTTGAACCCTGAACCCTGAACCCAACCCTTAACCCTAAAAGCCCAAACCTAGAGCCTAAAGCCTGAACGGCACTCAGCAGCTCAGGCCCGGGCACTTTGTCCGCGTAGCGCTGTTCAGCGCTTTGGCAAGTGCTTATCATACTTGTCTTGGAGAATAGAGATTTGTAGGGCTTATTGGGGTTTAGGGTTTAGGGTTGGATTTAGCGTTTGTTGGGGTTTATGGTTTAGGGTTCCTCGCTGGCAGGTACCGGCATGGCTCTCAGACGGGGTTCAAAAGGGTTGTAGGAGTTAACAGGTCTCTTTCCAGTTACACCTAAGCAGCAGGAAAAAAACGAAGCTCAACAAATATGGAGTTGCTCTAAGCGAAAGGGAACGAAACAAGCCAGGGGTACTTCCCATGCACTGTTGAAAACCAGCAACCTGCCTTGAAACCCTAAAACCGAAACCCTAAACCCTAAACCCCACAAGAGCCAGGCCCTGATGCCACTTTGGTCCTCACTTCCTTCGAGGATGGCCACTCGGCAAAGGAAGCCAGGGATGGCTTTCCGGTCATGCGACCCGAGCCATTCTTACTTGGTTTTCGAGGGATTCAGGGTTTAGGGCTTAGGGTTTAGGATTGTAATAGTAGTGTGAACGATGCGAGTGGGGGAACAGGGGCGGGGGGGAGTTTTTGTTCTGCTGAAGTTGGGGCATTGGCGACGCCATCAAAAGCCGATTTTACAACATGACCAAAGCTGTCACCACAGTGTTGGACCTTGCCATACTTGAATCGTGATGGGGAATATCCAATGCAGCCCGTGTCTTGATGATGGTCCTGGGTCGTGCGAAATCCGTTTGTGGGACCACTTCCGGATTTGCAGCATTCCACAATATACGGTCGGTGGGCCTTTGATGCAGCCCTTGACGGGCACTGTAAAGGGCTAAGAGGAAAGCTTGCTCAATGCCTAAAGGCGAACGGTATTTCTAATCCTTGTGGCTGCCACCGTCAGCTTCCTCAGGACGGCCGATATAACAGAGCTTTCCCTGCAGACTTACGAGCTGCAATCCCCGGACGCCGCGCAAGAATTCATACCCTTGTGTCCCACATCAGAAAAGTCGTGCTCCCGCCACACCCCTTGCCTTGGCTTGTCGTCTTGGTGCCTAATTGCATGCCACAACAGACACGAGAAGCAGACGGAAAGAGAGAGAGAGAGAGAGAGAGCGAGAGAGAGAGACAGAGAGCAAAGCCTGAACCTGCTATACCCGTAACTTAGGTGCACACAGACCCCCATTCCGAGCTTCCCACAAGCCCTGAACCTCGAACACAACGCCAGCCGACGGCCTAAGGCACAGCCCAGCTCTGGGATCCTTGCACAGGGGACTGCCTGCAAACCCTGTCTGGGCACGACCAGTCGGTGGGGAGGGTTCAGAGTTGAGGCTTCCAAAGGTTTGCACATGGAAGTCGTTTCGAGCACGATGCCCGAGGGTAAACAAATTTGGGTACCTGGTTTGGGCATCTTGCTCAGTCAACAGAGTTATGGCGCAGTGCATGGCTACACGAGGTTGCTATCCAACTCCATAGGAGATGGGTTCCGGATGTATCAGAATCTGCGCCAGGTGAAGTTTGCGCGCTTCTCTCCCTGATCTCGACTGAGACTTCCAGCCGAGTTAAAGCCAGCTGGATTGCCAGGACAGTAGCTGTCAAAGCAAGGTTGCCGTGGCATTGGTTCAGTATATGTGTTAGCGAGCGTTTTGACGCTTAGGTTTTTTGGGTCGCCGCACCTAAACCTTGACTTTGAGAAGCTGCCATGTTACTGTTTCAATTGCACATACTCGTCTTTCCTTGCGCAATGGCCTCTGTATATCTTATTTCCTGAGTGCACATCTTCTGACTGAGGCGGTCGTAGTCTGCAAGTTGCGAAGACCGTGGCCCAAACCATTCCCCTAAACCCTAAACCTTAAACGCAAAGGGAGTGCTGACAAAGGGAGCGTGAGAAAGGCACGGAACACTCTGACGTAGACGGTGTGCTGCACAAGGGATTTCAACTAGAAGCAACCCAACAAGGCTGCGACCAAAGACATGCACACATAATGAGTCCCGACATTACGGGCCGTGCGCACTTTGAGAATTTGGCGGGGCATCTGGTTCCTGCCTTGCCAGCCAAACCATCAGCGCGTGGCGGATCTGCAAGGGTTAGCAACTTGGGTTTCTCTATGAAGCCTCACTGACAAGGTGTTGGGAAGCGTGATAGAACTCGAGGGTGGCTCTTTGACGGACGCGCCACCCTTTCAGATCTGTGTCACTTGTCCGTTGATCAGCAGAACCTCCTGTCCAAGCTCTTCAAGGCTACAATTGCTGAAAAAGTACCATGAACCTCCAAGTAGACCCTAAACCCATAAACCCTAAACTAGATTTTTGGAGGTTTCCGAAATCTATATTGGTGTCCCCGATTTTCAAATTCGTAAACCCCCCAAGTTGGCACGAGCTGGCCGACGGAGCGCGGAGCATTCAGCTCACATCGTCCTTGCAGAGCGAAGCTCGAAGCGAGTGTAGTTAAAAAGCCCCGGCTCGGCTTGAGCTGGGCTCTTTTCAAGGGTTTAGGGCCTTTAGGATTCAGGGTTTCGGGTTTATAGGGTTTAGGCATGTTTTCCAAGAACGGGCTGGCCTGCCATCTCTTCTCAGCAAGAAACACTCACTTCGATGCCAGAAATCTGACATGATCTTAGCATTGGGGGTTCGGCCTGATGAAAGTATCAGGCATCTCCCGCACGAGCACACAAGGCGCCGTCACAAAATCTTGTTGGGTACTTACGACATTACGGGACCTCTTTTTGGGGTATCCCAAACGAGGCCGCAAGCTAGAGAACTGGTCATGTGGCGAGGGATTGGAGAGCAGGGTGTTTCTTTGAGGTTTCGGGCCAAGGGGGTGGTTAAGGGTAGGCCCAAAAAACTGCTGTTCTACATGCTTAAGGGGATGTTTAATTGTAAACGCTTGCACATGCCACCTTGGCAGACTGCCGGCCGCAGTACCCGGAGGGTTCCTAGGGGCCCAAAAGTACCCTGAGGGGTCCCAGTGGGGCCACCAACATTTCTGCAAAAGGGGCTCGGGTCTGTTGTCCAGATCCCGGCCTGCTTGAATCACGTCAGCTGCTCACTGCTCAAAGCACGATTATATAAGGAAAAATGTTTGTACAGCATGCAGCAGGATTGAAATCTTTGCCTCAAACTTGTGTTAAGTCAACCCTGAGCCCCAACTCTTCACCCACCTTGCACCTTTTGTCAACCCCCCTGCAAGATATCAAGAGGCCAATTGTCAGACCATGCGGGATGCAGAAATTTCCCAATGCCCAGCAGATCTCAAGCATAGCTTTCGAAGCCCAGAAAGTGGCGCCCAAGCTCAGTATGCTCTTCAGCCATAATGTTAAACAACCCCCCTCCCCCCCACCCCCGAGTAGTAAATACTCCTCATATACAATAATATAACTCTCATGTGAGTAGGGGAGGGGATTCTGCTCTTCAGCCGTAACAGCCAGCCCCCCTGCAACTGTCATTGCCATGTTTTGGCTGGTCCTGCTGTGGGCGGCTTCTGCCCTACCTGCGGCGAGGGGCGACGAGGGCTCTTGCGCTGCCGGCCAGGCTTGACTTTGCGCACGGTTCCAAGAAAGGGGTAGTACCGGGATCGGGGGAGTTGCCGGGCCCATACAGCTCCACTATGCTCCATTCTTTCCTGGAGGATTGCCCAGCTGAGATCCGGAAGAAGGCGAAAGTGAGGTACCTCGGCTCGCGTCGGCGGCCAAGGTTCACAACAGGAGTTTGCAGGGTTCTCGCTTGTGTTGGGGCAAGTTGGGGCTACCAAGACTTGGCGGTCAAAGCCTGCGCACGTTGTGCTATTTATATGTTTCAGAAGGATTGGAAGCTAGTCAGTTTCCTGGCCTGGGTTGTCCTCCAAGACCAAAAAAGCCAAGGAAGTGCTCGTTGCCAGATGGCGGAGAGGTGGTACCACCCAGGTAGCCGTGTTTCGATGTGGCCAAAAGGCTTTTGCAATTTGGATACCCAGGTTGACCTGCTATTGGTGGCTTGTGAGTACCGTGATAGACTGTGAGAGGCATTAGAAGTTGCGCAGGGTTTTGAAGATACCAATGGCTGTCAAGCAGGCAGTAGCGCAAAAGTATGCCACTTGGAGGACATTGGCACTCCAGGAAGCTGCCAGAGAATGCTCCATGGCATCCACTAACACCTGCTTTTTCCCCCAGAACATCTCGGATGTTGGGTTCGGAGCCGTGACGGGAGGCATGACGGGAGGCATGACGTTTAGAAGGCGGCGTTGCGCGAGTGTTGCCCGTGATTGGCACGTATCATGCGGTGATGGAGAAAGCCCAGAAGCCCAGTATGGCTTGCGCGGGGCGCATCAAGACCGTAAAAGCTGGGGCCGTGACGGGGTTTGACGGGTCCCCCCTGGGTGATGTATAGGGTGTGTAATGGAGAGTAAAAGTCAAAAGCTAGGGGGGAGTTCAACGAAGAGGGCTGCAGCCCTTTTTGGGAAGCTTCAGCACCCGACCATGCCCACCATCTTCAACCCAGGCAAGCGCCTGAGCGGATGCAGGGCTGTGACTGCCTTTGTTGGGAGCGATTTCCAGCACCAGAGTCGCACTCAAGAGATGGGTGAATCCGCCGTAGGCAGGGACTGCAGACGTTTGAGCTGAAGCAGCAGTGCTTGTCCCGGCATTCCATGTTCTACTGTCATTATGAGCCCAGACTTGTTTCCCGTCGCGAATCCCCAGGCAGCACCAGGAGTATGAATTCCGCTTCGTGACGAGGCGCTGACCCCGCTGTCCAGATAAAGTTGAGAAAGCCGTCGTTGCCATACCCACATTCCAAATACGCCAAGAGCTTGAAGTGTGCGGTCCGAACAACCCTGAAGCCCTAAACTTAACTCCGCCGTGCGCGAGTGAGAGCCGAGAACCCTGCATGGCTCAGAGGCCCCAATGCCCCTAATGAAGGACTCTTCCTTGTGGCTTAAGGAATACTTTGGCTACTCCTGAATTAAGGGGTCTTGTAGTGTTTGGGCACTGCATGATCTCCTTCCTGAAAGGGTGGAGCCCTGCACTGCAGATCCGGAATTTCGGACAGTACTGCTTCCGGCCTCCGAGGCCCGAAGTGTTTTGGGATGTTAAGGGGCAGGGATTTTGGGTATACAGGGCAGAGGACTTCAGGTTTCGATGTTTCTGCATGAGGGGAGTTTAAGACCAAGGGGTTGGCTGTCATTTCGCGCTGGGGCCGCCGTTTTATTGAGTCGCAGGCGCTGGAGTTTCTATTTGATCTTTGCACACCGACGGTTTTGAAAATGCCCCAAAGCCTTTCCAAGTGCTCTAAAGAGTTATGACCGGAGAAAGTGTTGGACCTTCCTCTGCGAGACGCCCACTGCATTTCGTTCGGGTGGACTTTTCAGACCGGATGCGGTACTAGGGTTTTCGTGCCCAGCTTATGTCAGAGCAGCTTGATCCTGGCGTTCTATGGCACGCGCACATCATCTCCTGCAACGCGAAACACTAACAACACCCCAAACCTAAAGTTCCGAGGCCCAAAAACCTTTCTCCTTCCCCTGGCAGGGCTTTCACGGCGTCCGCTGGCCTGGCCCGGCGCCCGTGGAGGACCTTGCAGCTCGCGGAGCCACGCTGGCCGGCATGGGGATTAATGTGGAGACCCCACCCCCCCTGGAAAAACTGGGCCCTGCTTAATGTGCACTACGGCCTGATGGAGAGGATCTCAGCCGATTGCTCGGCCCCCATTAAAACTTGTTTTCTGACACGCATCGATGCTTTGTCGTGGAGTGTAGGGAATGCCGTGGCCCCTGCTCAATCATGTAGCTCGCCTTAAGATAGGGTGGCGAGAGCCTTGAAACCGAAGAGAAGACCAAAGATCTGAAGCAACTACCTTATTGGGGTCCTTAGTATCAGGGAATCCTACTACTTGCGGGTCCATATTATTAGGGGTCCGTTGTTTTCGTAAACCCCCAAAAGAGTTTTCCAAAGCACCCGGAGCAGACTGAATCCAAGAGAATCACAAGCGTAGGGCCCTTGAGCTGCTCGCGAGGTGCGCGACGATCCGCCCGTCGCCAGATTTGATGGCTTTCTGTCTGACCCTTGTTATAATATGGAACAACTCTCACGGGGGATTGATACCATGGATTTCCTATGTTTCCTGATCGTGCCAGGTTACAGAAATCGGTTTCGAAAAGAGGTGGGTCTGATATACTAATACGCGCTATTTGCGGTTGTGTTGGTGACACCTGCGCGAAGTGTCGGTTGTGCGATGCTGGCGGCGGATCATCAAGAAAAGCCGGAAGTGCCCTGAAGTGCCCTGAAGTGCCCTGTCACCGAAAAGTGCGCACCTTGAACGGCCCTAAACCCTAAACTCGATAAACCCTACACCTCACTCAAGGATGACGAGATCCAGTACATCATGGCTCTGGCTCGCCCGCGGTTTGTCCGCTCCACTACCGGAATGACCTACGACGCTTGGGCTGATTTCAGGTCGTATGGGACAAAAGGCATCCGAGGCAATTCGCGGTAAGAGCCAAGGGCTCAGTATGTGCGTATGTGCATTTTGCCTTGGAATTTCGGAGCCGTCCGGTATCCTGTGG